ATATATTAGAGCGAGACATTGCCTTTTGTTTTGTTGTTTTTTAACAGAGACAAAGAGAGTTAACATATATGAAACATGGGAGTTGTTATGTTATATGGCTTTTTCAGTCGTTAACATTACCCACAATGCAAGTGCCATTACACATTTATCAGGCTTTGTGCGGCTCTCTCTGGAGCCACTGACTAAATGCTCAACAACTTATTTTTCACATAATCGGCGTTAAAGACTCCAGAACTTTTTGACGGACTTGGAGTTGTAAAATCTATAAAGTTCCCCTTTAATGCATTCTGCCAATCTTATAATACATTATAGCTCTTACATTTCATGGGTTCTCATATTAAACTTGCCATTCATGACTCTGATTGGTCGAATCGTTGTGACGCAAATTGTACTATATTTGTGAGGGCTGACATTACAAGTGAAATAAATTTAGAGGTGTCAACGTACCAAGGAAGCAGTTAACAAAGGAACACAGACAGTGTATATGTCTGACTGTATCTTACAAGTGTCTGGTTTTGGTCACCAAAACCTTACTGACGACAACATAAAAAAAAAACTTGGGAACATACACCAAGTAAAATAAACTGCAGAAACAGCTGTTTTTCCTGACACACATTTCCCCACTGTTCACTTGTTTTGTCTTAATGGAGTCCTGTTCCTGTCAGTAAGCTCTAATCTCCCCGCCTCTCTTGCTCCAAAACACCAGCCACTCCCCCTTTGATCTCTATTTCAGGCCACTGCACCTGCTGTCCACACAACCCCTTCTGGAAAGCAACAGATATTTAGGATTTGATGGCTAGGGGGAAAAAAGGCCCACATTGGAACCTTTGGATGCTTCAATTAGCCAGCTAGCTCAGGAAAGGAATATTTAAAATTCACCTCAGGTCAAACCTTTTCAAAAGGTTAAACATTTTTCGCCAAATGCTTCTGGTTATTTGAACGCTTAATGAAGGTTTAATTAAAAATAGTTGTCATTGTGTATTTGGGTTACACCGTTATGTCATTTAATGTACTTTGTGCCTTATTGTAGTTTTTTGAAACACATATAAGAGAATTTGTATTGTGCCTAAATTAACCTTGCCTAGTTTGCAGAGTTGTTCGACTCCACTTCGAGCGATAGAACTATTAACGAAGCACTTTTATACTAATAAAGGACTGGCTTTTCTAAAGCCAGTTGAGTAGCACTTGAAATGTTTTTGCTCTATGAAACCTGATGTACTTATATGATTCTGTTTTCCTCAAGTTTGTATTTTGTTGGACGAACGCACTTATTGTAAGTCGCTTTGGATAAAAGCGTCAGCTAAATGCAATGTAATGTAATGTAATGTTATGGACTGCTCAAATATCTGACAATTAACTGTCTATCGCACACATTATTGTGAAGTCAATAGTTTGTTAATAATTTACAACAGGCATTATACTGATTTAATAAATGCATCTGAAAATGTTGCTACTTTGAAGACTAATTCTGCAAAATATTAGAAAGCCATAGACAAATTGACACTTCTACCATAGCCTATTATCGAAGTAAATATCATGTTTCTGACACGTCCGGTTCCTAAGTTACTGTGCGGACAGGAATGTGTGTACAGGCAGAAAGACTGACATACTCCCAGGCAGACAGACTGACTGACAGATGGACTGAGAGACAGATGCAACATTGACAGCATGGGGCTGGCAGCTGTGTGTTCACATACAATTCTAACGTGTTTTTTCTAAACGTTTTGGTTTGCCAGAAGTTGTTGTTTGTCATTTAAAAAACGACCAGAGAAATCTACCAAAAATGTCACAGCATGTGATAACAACCCTGTCTAGCTCTACTGTAGTAGTAACGTTCCTGCATGGACTGACGTCAGCAGGTGCTGCAGTGGGCCGGGCTTCGAACCTGTTAATCCTCACACGGTAAATATAGAACTCTGGGTTGAGGGTGAACAGCTACAGACTGACAGTAACCTAATGACACATTGTTAACATATTTTACTTTAGTGCTGTGTTACAAGCCATGAGACCATGCCAACTGCAAACATGATTTTCAGTTATGTTACTTCTGTTTGAATATGTAATAGTCATTTATTTAAAAGTGTCCAATTAAAAATATGATATAAAGTCAATGCAAACACAGACTGTCGTCACACTTCAAGATACACAACTTATGATCAAGTGGCTACAAGGATCTGAGTTGTAAGTGATGGTTATAATGCAGATAGATAATGAGTTCCTGGCTTACACTAACCGACGGGCTAGAGTTACCAGGCTGTAGAGAAACTCAAGTGACACTATGTGGGACATCGACAATAGCTGAGTATCAACGCTGACTTTACAAATAGAGCGTGTTACATTTGGAAGACTGCTTGCAAGGCCACAATGCCCTTCTGTAGACTTTGGCGCAGAGATCTTAACTGGAAATCTGATCGCTGAGCGGTGAGTAATGCATCAAAAATAAACACATTTAACCGTAGTGCAAAATCAATTAAGCGAAACATGTAAAACTTTGAGATAACATTTCTAAATGAATAAATCCCTAAGCAAGATATAAGGCTACTATCATAACATATATGTTAACTGCCTTAGAAAAAGAGCTAGCTATTTGTATAGTTTTACAGAACTGTCTTTCAAACAGCAGAGATAAGGAAACTGCGACCATCTGTGCCGCACATTTTCGAACAACAAAGTAAAATCGAACTCGAAACACGATGTTTGGGCAAATGAATCCTTACGAAACCATAAATTAAACAACTTACAGTAGGTTTGATACAGCAAATACATCGTATGGCATTTTGTCTTTAAAAAAGTGATGGAAATGTAGGCCTACTATAACTTATAAAGACTTGTCCAGATAACAATGAGTATTGATATAAATACAAAAAAAATGGTCCAGAATACTTCAATGTATCCTATTTGTATTCTCTCTAACAGCGGGGGGAAAAAGGAACATGTTTGTAATTTAGAATAACATCTATCCATTTGCCGGGAAAAAACGATAAGTATATCTATATCTAAATCTATATATAGAGATTTAGATATAGTTATATATTATTTGGATGTAGATCTTGAAACTACAAGCCAAGTTGACACATCCACAATCCCATAAAACATTAGGCATGGTACATCTGAGCCCAGCAGTTCAACTATTAAGAGTTCTTGGTTTCAGCACTTGTCATCAGATGAGTTTGGAATCCTACAATTGTTCTTTAGGATTTATTCAAATTCACCTATGTAGTCCTAACTGCCTCTTCGTTACACAACCTGCTCAAATACATTTGAACTGAACTCTGTCTTTCATTTTAACCACTCAACCAGTTTCTTTAAAAAAAAGAAATCATTATTGTCTTTTAAAGAAAATGTGGTGTCTGTGTCTAACTGTCATAATACTTTAATTTGACTGCATCGAAATGCTTATACATTACACAGTGTCTTTGTATCAACTGTCACCTGTCACCAGAAGTATTCTTCTTTGAGACAAAACAGTAATATATCAAGAACCCAATGGGATAAAAATAGATGACAATGCTGACAAAACCAGCCACCTGTCCATGGCAATCTGTGCCATCAGTCTATGTAAGGAAAGTCAACCAAAACAGTAAATGCCTTGGCTCTATACAGTGAAGTGACAATTCACTACACAAAAGACTCATCATTTTACATTGTGAATAGGTTTAGTAATACTTTTTGACACAACGCGTATAGCATCACTTACTGTACGCAGGAACTGAATCTCTTCCTCTCCATCTGCACCTTCTGCCATTCTCCCAAGGCATTAAAAGCAAAACCTTGATGAAAAATGTTGTCTCTCAGCTTTTAACACCTGGTGCCTGTTTGCCCACTACTTAAAGCAAGACAATGTTGCCGAAGGTTTCTGAAGGGCAGTGTGGGTCTTGTTTCTCTCTGTGGCTGTGGCATGGGGCAGGGGGATTGACTGTTCATTCCTGTTCATCACAGCATCATAAAGAGGTGGAGCAAGCTGCTGCTGACAAAGCTGAATCAGCATATGTTTATGTGTGTATATGTTTATATAGATATATTTATTCGTTGTATGTGGAAATGCACTGCGAGGATTGCTTTTTTAAATTTCGTTGTAACTGGTGCGATGACAATAAAGGAATTCTATTCTATTCTATTCTATTCTATTTCAAATGTTTCTGTCATGACCATTGTTTTTGCACTATGTTGTGTCATCTAATGATTGCATTAAAAAAAGTTATTAACCTGAAGTTAGAACTTTCATTATGATAACAACAACAATTGAAGTAAATATGTGTTTTTTTATGTTTGTTAAAAAGACAGTGTGAACATTTAACCTTAGTTTTCTCATGCTGTATCCATTATTACTAAGTATTGCAGTTGTTTATGCAATATGCATACAATATACATTGCATTGACAAATAAATTAAAAGGATAATATTATGTTAGCGTATAGTTTATATGTACTGCCCTAAAAATTAAGCCGCTACAAGCCTTTTCATCATAAAATGAATGTGTGTAATGCTATTTAAAAATATAACATGTTAAGGCTATGCTAATTAGCTAAGAGTAGTTAGCTTAACGCTAGCTCTCATTAACGTTACATTCTTGTTTACTTTACATCCCTGGGAATTACATCTCACCTGTAGGGTCAGCTGCTTAAACGGCTATATCCTGCACTTTCTGTTGAGAATATAGATAACAGGAAAATAAGATAAAACAATTCAGAGACGTATAGCGACAAAAACAACAGAATATACATCTTAATTGAATGATTAAATGTAGCCTCAAGTTAGCCAGGTGACTGTTTTGTCGCATTTAGCTAAAATGTGAGATTGAACATTTGACATTATTATGGTGCTTTTCTGCGGAACACAAATGTATGAATAATACAAAGCACGCTGTTATAGAAAAACATATAATTAATATGTCTTTGTATGTATTTTTACAGTTTATAACTTGAATGACCTAGTAACGTTATTCCTGTAGAGGGCAGCAGAGCGACGGACGGCCGGTTGTCAAACATTCTCAGTAGAAGAAGAAAACGGTACGTCGGTAAAACAGTTCCCCCTTTATTTCCAAAACACAGAGCAGTTTCAGGTAAAAGCTAGCAGCATTTTTTTAACTATAGGTATCAACTTAGTCAAAAATATGCACATTTGCAAATTCACACATTAATAGTATGTTTGCTTTGGAACAGGAATCAAGATGTTATAACTGTCTCTACTGATAGTCCAGCTGGTAGCCTAGCTTGCTAAGTAGCGCTGCGTTAGAGTGTTTTGACACTCTAACGCTAATGTTTTGACATTGGTGAATGCTTTCTAATGTTCAAACCGTTTGTCGCACTGAACTATCAGATTCTACCTTAAATGTATTCACAACAACATTTTTCAAGTTGAATGAATCGTATCAAACGGATCGTTCAGAGTCCGTCCACAGATGTTGAGATATTTAAAAGTCATATGTCTTTTTCCTGTGTGAAAGACTTTAAGCTTGGTGCAGAGGGAGAATGGATGCCCTCACTCACATGCTTACAGACCCCCTTGATCCAAAAGAAGAAGACAATGGACAAATCACAGAGGAGTGCATGCTGGGGAACTGTATATTAAACCTACCAGAGGACCTACTCGAGGACGTGAGTTATCTGTCGCTCAGTGATTAAATGTTGCTCTTTCCTGCTTTAAATGACTGTGCACAGGTGTAAGACATGCATTCAATATTGTTGTTTACTTTTTTGTTTTTATTAGCCTGACATTTTCTTCTCCGTGCTGAGTGAAAGCACCTGGAGTGAAGTACTGTCAGATTCCCAGAGACAGCACCTTCGTCAGTTTTTGCCAAAGTTTCCAGACAACAATGTTGCAGAACAGGATGAAACCATCGGTGACCTATTCAACAACACAAACTTTCATTTTGGAAATCCCCTCCATCTTGCACAAAGACAGTTCAGAGGTGCTTACCTAGATTCACCCACCAACAAACAACATTATCATGCTGAATACATTTGTGATGCACTTGTTCTGAACATGACTCTTATCTTATCCCAGATGGTTACTTCAATCCTGAAGTGGTCAAGTACAGACAATTGTGTGCCAAGTCCCAGAAGAAGCGACAGTTGCACTCCCTTCAGCAGTATTACCACAAATTGTTGAAGCACATCCTCGTCTCCAGAAAGGTATTTTTATAAAAGTTTGAAATACAAGGCACATGGCGTCTCGCAATCAGTCTAATTGTGTTTTCTTGTTTTAGGAGTTGCTAGAGTTTGCAGTTCAAAATGGTCTGGACTTTCCACCAAAAAGAAAGTTGCAGACCAAGACTCATGCTGAAATGCGAGAACCAAGGGTGAGAAGAAGATTGAGCCGTATATTAAAGGATGTCAAAACTGAGTGTGGAGACAGCAACGCTTCATCTGATGATGACGGTCAGTCTGTTCTTTCATTTGTATCACTGCAAATAACAATAGCGTTATATTCCTAAAGCCTTTTCTGATAAAAATGTGATGAACACTAATAAGAGTATTATTGCATATGCTTGTAGATATATCATTATGGACTCCAGCACCCCATTCGCCTTCCTCTCCGACGCCCACTGTCTCACTCAGAGTCCTCCCCAGCCTCTCCACCCAAGACATGAAGATTACTGGTCAGTGGTTTCTGCAATATCAAGATGATGTTCCTAACAACACTACAGCAAATAAAATGATTACAAATATTGAAATGTTTCCACAGAAAAAATAGAACTAGGGGAGAGAGATCTAAAGGCCATGCTGCAAAACCATCGGGATAAGAGGAAGCGACAGCCAGTAAGTGGTGTCGGTAGAAAAAAACCAGAGATACAATTTGTCCTATTTTCTACTTCATCATTTGGTTGTTTACTCAGGATCATCCAGACTTGATGACCTCTGACCTCCACCTTGGGGACATACTTTCAAGAACAAATATCGGTCGGAAGGGGACACTGCGTGAGTAAAACTATAATAAAAAGAAAGTCTTGCTTTATTTGCTGTCATGACAAACTCTTTATTATTTTTTGTTTTTTTCCTTGCAGCACTTTTTGATCTGTCACTGCCTAAGAAGAAGATTAAAGATGAGAGAAGAAAGAAGAAAATGAGGACAATAAAAGTGGAATCTGAGGATCCTTGTGAAATTCTCTCACCTTCAGAAAACGCATCAGCTCCACCAGCGAGCATCATCAACTCCCTGCCGGACACGCCGTCCACTCCCCTGGCCAACATCAAAGAGGAGTAAGTCTATTCCTCTGCTGGCATTAAGAATATTATGAATTGTATATGTCTATATTGTACTGTCATCAAAGACTAATATAAAAAACTTCTTTACAGAATTGTGGAGGAGTGTCAGAGCAGTCCGGCTCCAGTTGAGGAAATAGCTATCAGTTTCTTCAGCTTGTTGGAGAGCATTTTAGCGACAGAAAGCCTTACCAGTACTTCATTGGTATGCACTCAGCACCACAGAGTCTCACATACATATTATACAATTGACTTCACTTTATAACACATACATTGTGATCTCTCAGTTGGAGGAAAAAGTTCAAATGTGGCAGTCCTCTCCAGCCAGCTCCCTCAACGTCTGGTTCTCATCTGTCCCGTGCTGGTCTGACTTGGTGCTTCAAGCCCTGCAGTTTCTTGCAGGAGAGACTAAAGGTAAGGAAGACTTTTGTCCGCTGCTTTTAATTGAACTCAATTAGGGATATTGCCAAACTACAAGAAACATGCAGGTCCGCTGCAACTCTTACTACTTTTAAATCCAGGCTGAAGACTTTTGTTTTTGCTGCTGCTTTTAATTTAAAGGGGACCTATCATGCAAATGCACTTTTGTACGTCTTTTATACATGAATATGTGTCCCCGGTGTGTCAGGGAACTCACCAAGTGTCAGAAAACACAACCCTCTCTCTTTTCCTCCATACCCAAATCTCTAAAAACGGGGCTGCAACGGATCTGATACAGACTGATCCAGATTTGAAATGGTTCTGACGTCAGAAACAAGGAGCTCTGCCTATATGGGCAACTCTCCACCTATCAGGGGAATAAGAGGTTGCCGTGACATGGTAACAGCATGGTAACATGACGCTTGTGCCACGCCCCCCTCCTTTGCAGGGGGGTGTGGTCAGCTGCAGCTCATTTGCCACAGAATCAGCCCTTGCAAAAACAGGGCTGGAATAGAGCGAAATGAGGCATGGCTAAAATGCATGATCTGTTTGGTATTTTGGAAAAAAAACTTCACAGACATGTTTTATGTTTTATATAGGTATGGCCCTACAATATATTATTCAAATATAGCATGATAGGTCCACTTTAACTATTCACATCTTATACTGCACTGTAACTTTTATTCTTGTCCTATTCATGTTTTATTATCTTTGCTTTTTAATGTTTATAATGTGTTTCTGCTGTACTATTTCTTAATGTTCTTAATGTTTTTCATTTTTGTAAAGCACTTTGAATGGCCTTGTGTTGAAAGGTGATATATAAATAAACTTGCCTTGCCTAAGTAGTGATCACTCACACTGACATAGTGATGCCTTTTCTCAACTCCATGTTACTTACATTTGCTATGTTTGTTATCAGATGGCATGATGGCACTCCCCAGTGGCTTTTTTCCATTTGTGGAATTTGCTGATGAATCTCAGCAGTGGAGGTGGATCGGTAAGGAGGGTCAGCTTTTGAAATCCCATATCGATGAATTCCTGATTTTATACTTGAGGGTTAAAGTGGATCATTTGTTTCAGGCCCCACGCACGATACAGAGAAGGATCTCAGCGCACTCTGTCAGCTGTGGCTGGACTCCAAAGATTTAGTCATCAAGGTAGTACCATTGTTATATCAAATCTGTTCAGCAATGACTGTTTGTACTGTGCTATACTACGATGTTAATGTCCACCACTATTTTCTTTGTGTTTTAAACAGACCGAAAATGAAGAAATGCTAGAGATGACTTCTCCTACTGCAAGAGTGTAAGATTCAGCGACTTAAAAGCATTGCAAACACAATATACTTGCTGAACAAATGATGAATTAATTGATTGACCATAGCTTTTTTTATGGGTTCCTGGTAGTACTTAGCTTTTTAAAAGTCATTTAAGTATGTGTATTTTATCAGCCAAATAGTTTATTGCACAATCAAAAAGTAACCATAGCTCTATTTTAAATGCATATTAGAGGTATCTTTAGCATGACATTAACATACCAAAGTAGTTAGAGTTACAATATGTTCTTTGAAGTTAACAGTGTAATGTCTCTTACCTAACAGCTCAACTGACTATGTGGTACGGCCCAGCACTGGGGATGAGAGACAAGTATTTCAAATCCAGGTTTGTGGAATCTTATGTCTTATTAAAGCATGTTCCCACTTTTTCCTGCACAGTCTTTCTAACCTAACATTTTTTTTTAGGAGCAGCAGCGATACAACCAGCCGCACAAGGCCTTCACCTTTAGGATGCACGGCTTTGAATCTGTGGTGGGGCCGGTTAAAGGCGTGTTTGATAAGGAGATGTCCCTCAACAAAGCCAGGGAGCACACGCTGCTGCGCTCAGACCGACCACCATATGTCACCATTCTTTCTCTGGGTAGGCCCTCTCTTTTACTCTAAAACCATTGTAAGGCAAAATCCACTTTTTCATGTCTTTTATACATAAACATGTGTCCCCTCCGTGTAAAGAGATTCTGAAAGTCTCAGTAACAAAGACCCCCTCTCTTTTTGTCCTGATCCATTTATATAAAAACCTGTCTGAAAATGAGCTGATCAGATTTTGGCCACTTTTTGATGTCATAACAATTTGGCTTGTGTAACCATTAGCCAATCACCAACCAAGGTAACCCCCCCCCCCCCCTTATCACCTGAATCTCCTCCTAGAGCACTAATGTGTTATTTTTAACCAAATATCTCTCAGAGGGGCGTGGGGAGGGGCTCCTTATTTTTATCTAAAGTAACAGACACAGAATCATCACTTTTGAAACAGGGCTGAAACAGAGGGGATTATGGGATGTTGCAATGATCCGTTTGGTGTTTGGAGCCAAACACTTCAGAGACATGTGTTGTATATATCTGAGACCTATAATATATTGATGAAAAACAGTATAATAGGAGAGCTTTTAAGTGTGTGCCACAATTCTGACCTTATTTCTTCCGTAGTGCGAGATGCAGCGGCCAGGTTACCCAACGGAGAAGGAACAAGGGCAGAGATCTGTGAACTGTTGAAAGACTCACAATTTCTTGCTCCAGATGTAACCAGTGCACAGGTAAGATATTATTTTTCTTTTAGTCTTTTAGTCATTCAACTTTACAGTGGCCTGAAGCCTTTAAGTAATTTTCTTCTTTGCTATCTAGGTGAACACGGTGGTCAGTGGGGCTCTGGATAGACTTCACTATGAGAAAGACCCCTGTGTGAAGTATGACATTGGTCGTAAGCTCTGGATTTACCTGCACCGCAGTCGCAGCCAAGAAGAGTTTGGTAAGATAGCATGTGCTCGATTTTTAGCTCTCAGCTGTCCACCTTTAAAGTGTAAAGATCTCTTAAGTCTGTGGTCTTTTTCATTTGTCTTATTTTGACAATAAGATTCATTTTATTTCCCATAACCCCATTAGATCTGCCTGACACAGAATTCAAAAAGTTAGTTTTTTTTGTACCGTGGATTTGTAGAAGATGTTGAACTAACTAATAACTTTCATTCCTTTAACTTTCTATTGCCCTGGTCCTGTGTTCACCATACTCTGATTGAATTGAGAGGAAGAAACAAGTTTTCTTGTAGTAAATGCTTTCAGTTATTTAAATGTCTTTTCATATCTTTCTATCTTTTCTCCAGAGAGGATCCACCAGGCTCAAGCTGCTGCTGCAAAAGCAAGAAAAGCCCTACAGCAGAAACCTAAGCCTCCGTCAAAGCCTGTGAGTCCATCGTCTTTATTTAACTGCAAAAAAAAACCACATCTACCTGTAAACTATTAGCTGTATGGAAAACACTGTGGACGTTTGAAGTTGCTTATCAGTGTGTAAAAGTTGTCAAGTGTTGGTTATGAATCTCCTGGTTATCTTTTAGAAGTCTGGTAAAGAAGGAGGCGGTAAAACCCCGGGGTGTCTGGAGGGAGGACAGGATATGGGCTCCATTCCTATGTCCCCAACCCCTACAACACCCACCCTAAACACACCAGGAACCCCTAAGTCCCCCTTACCCTGCGCTGCCAGCATGCCAACAAAGACCGGGGGCCCGGACACAATCAAGACCAGTACAGGGTCAGTGTGCCACAAGTCAAAAGTCAAAGTCAACTTTATTGTCAAACTTTCAGTTTGTGTGTACAGACGCCGGAGAGATCGAAATACCGTTTCCCACAATCCCGAATACAAAAACTATATAATATATACATATATACATATATACATACATACACAATCAAAAGACACATTTCTAACGTCTTTATGTTCTTATTAATATTATAATATTTAATATTCCATTCTTCACATACTTATGTATATATAATATCCTGCTTTATATTTTGTTTCTTTTGTAATTCAACATGTATATTTTCAACTTTTCCAATGCTATTTTATTTCTATTGAGATGTTTACATTTTGGAATGTTTATTTCTAGTCTTTTATTTTTTATTGTACAATGCCAAGTCTTTTTATGCTGCTGCAACGCAAACATTTCCCAAATTGGGATCAATAAATGACTTCTTATCATATTGATCTTATCTTATTATCCAATACATACAACCTATTTTCTTCAGCATAATTAGAATCAGAATCAGAAACAGGTATGTTACCAGGTAGGTTGACACGTACGAGGAATTTGACTTGATGTTGTGGTGCATACATAAAAGTAAAACAATAATACAAAAAAAAAAGTGTACTAACTCATCGTTTCCTTGCCTCTTCTCGCTATCCCAGAGTTCTCCTCGTGTCCCCCCCCTCGCTGCCCCAGCTGGGAACGATCTTACCCAGCAGTCAGGCCTGTCCACAGGTTTCACATACGGTCACGTCCCAACACGCGGCTCGGATAGTGAGCCACCTGGCGGCAGGCTCCCTCCCTCAGGTGCGGGTGGTGTCCGCTCATTCTGGTCTGGGTCCCTCGGCAGGAGGTCAACAGGCTACCATGTTGCATCATACCCCCCACCAGATAAGGATGCCAATGTCAATGACAGCCAAGGGCATCTCCCAGGTAGACAGATAAAGAGCAGAGTTTATTGTTTTGTATCTTGCAAATGCATAATTACTTATGGCTGTGTCTGTTATGCTTGTCAACAGACAGTGGTTTCTCTTCCTCTGAGGACTCAGTCTGTCAGTAGTCCGGTCCACGTGCCCACCACCCTCTCAGTGTCTGCTGTAGCTTTGGCCAAACCTCAAGCCCGGTCCCCTGGAAGCCCGGCACACATCCACCCCTCTTCCCCCGCTCTGCTGCATGGAGTCTCCGGCCAGAATATAAAACAGGTTTGTTTAAACTATGATGTTTATCCAGTAAGTTAACCTGAACAGTCTTTAGCTGCAATAATGGTTAGTTAAAGCAAAGGTTTAAAATGTGTAGGGAGGCTTGTGGCGCAGTGGATAGAGCCTTGTTGTTGGGATCAGGGGTCACAGGTTCAAACCCCACTGCAGTCAGCATGTCGTTGTGCCCCTGGGCAAGACACTTCACCCCAAATTGCTCCTGTGGGGATTGTCCACAGTACTGAATGTATGTAAGTCGCTTTGGATAAAAGCGTCTAACAAGTAACACGTAATGTGTAAATGGGCTAATCCCTCAAACTACAATAAGGTATTTACAAGTAGATAAACTCATTAAAATGTTTTAAACTCTTATTCCTAATTGTGGAAATCAGTCTTTCTATTTAGTTTTGGTTCATTCTTTTCGCGCATGGAGAATTTTTTTCTTCCCCTTCTGATTACAAATGTTATATAGTTACACCTTTTGGTGCTGGCTGAGACTGAAACAAATTCCATATTCTTAAATAAGTAACCCTTTTTTTCTGACTTTTTCTTCAGATCTTCCATATTGTAAGAAGTGAGATTTCACTTATGTTTTTAATGAGTAACCAGGTCTAGGTCCTATTTAAATGCTGTTAAAGCAAAAATATGGCCACTAAATAGGAGTGTTTCATTCAAGGTATACAATACAGGTATATTCAGGCAGTATGAGAAAGATAATGTGATTTCAACCATTAGAGCATGTAGACATGGAAACTGAAAATACAAGTATGAACCTGAACAATATCTTTGAATGTTCCCTTCGAAGGTGTCTATCACAGGCCAGTTGGGAATGAAGCATGCTGGAGGAGCAGGAATCCCAATAACAGCTACCAACCTGCGCATCCAGGGTAAAGATGTCCTCCGCCTCCCCCCCTCCTCCATCACTACTGACTCTAAGGGCCAGACGGTGCTGCGGATCACCCCAGACATGATGGCCACTCTCGCCAAATCCCCAGTTGCGACTGTCAAACTCACCCCTGACTTCCTGGGCTCAGCCTCAGGCAGTAAAAGCATATCAGCTACTCTGCACATGACGCCCCCCCACTCCTTGGCTTCCTCTGCCTCCGGTTCCACTTCGGATATTCAGACCACTAAAGCAGGCTCTATTACCTCCACCTTGTTGAAGGCCACCGGCGACATTCGTCTGATGCCCACTCTGGCTGTCACTATGGCGGACCAAAAAACAAGAACCTTCTCCACTGTTTCCTCCCCCGACAAGAGCGGGGCCACCATTCGGATAATGCCGGGCCTCGGTGTGATTCCACAGAAACAGGGTCACACCATCACTATGACAACCACCACTGGCACTAAGACCCTCACAGCGTCTACATGTGCTAACGTAGTGACCATGGCTGCCAGTGTTGTGGCCGGGGCCAAGGGGCTCACTGTGGCTCCTGGGGTCTCGTGCTCCACTCTGACGCTAGGAACAGCCACTGCCACCGTGAGGCAGGTCCCCGCTACAGTGGTTACCACACAAACAGTAAGAGAGTTTGTCTCATTCTGCTCATGTTTTAAGGAAAATGCTAGTTTTCTTTGTGTATTTTGTGCCATCATGATCGCTCCAGGTATTTCATGTAATTGAATAACAGCAGATGGCCCCTAGGTGTCACTGTTTCACTTGAATTGATCGGGTCCAAAGCCCCTACAGCAGGGGTGTCAAACTACATTTCATTACAGGCAACATTAGCATTATGGTAGAACCCAAAGGGCCGGCTGTAATGTTAAGACTAAATAAATATACATATATAAATAAATAATATTAATTTTAATGATGTATTATTAAATTGGATTATTATTAGTTCTGGTAATAACTTTATAAATAACTACGTCTGAAAGCAGAAGTCTAGGGCAAATAATTGAAAGCAAATATTCAACAATTACACCAATTGTATTGTATATTATTTTATTTTCAAGCTCTTGCGAGCCACATAAAATGAGTTTGACACCCCTGCCCTACAGCAAGGGTATGCATGTAACCACAATCAGCAATGATTTATAAAGCCAACCTCGGACAAACATCTCACGTTTGCCCATGCCAAATATCTAACGTTTGCCCATGCCAAACAACGCGGATATGTCTGAGTGAAATATGAGATAACAGATGGACACGGCTAAGCACAAATCTGCTATTCCTTCTTCCTCCTCACATGTTTCCCAGTTTCCCAACAAGAAACAGCAAGGAAATGTGTTCAGCATTTGAGATGATGCTGGATGAGCACAAATGCATCTCTAAATAGTTGATTTCTTGATTTCAAAGAAAAAGATCGAGGCTCTCTTAGGACAAAACAATGAATGCAAATCCTTTTTTTTGGATAGCTATGTTATAGTGAAATCCTAAAACATAGACAATGCTTTGTTTCATTAGAGTTGGCCTGCTTGAGGTTGTGATTTATTGATTTGAATAGTTTTCTCAGAGACAATGGGAATTCATTCATGTGGAACCCACAAAGTCTAGTTAATAATTTTTAAGTCACATGACTGGGGAATAATCTTTTTTTGTTGACAACCCTTTAGGGGAAGTTACCAACACGGATAACTGTACCCATCTCTGTGCTGAGCCAACCACTGAAGAGCAAGAGTGTTGTGACCACACCGATGGTGAAAGGAAGTCTAAACGCAAGGTAAGTCTCATTATCTGCACTGTCATTAATTAATTTTGTTTTAACTAGTGCTGTCAAAATTATCGCGTTAACGGCGGTAATTAATTTTTTGAATTAATTGCGTTAAAATATTTAACGCATTTAACGCATGTGCAGAATGGCCCGCCCCATACGTGCCACCAGTGGCAGCGCCAGGGTATGGCTGGGGTAGGCTACACCCATACCAAGAAATGGCTTAGCCCCACCATGAAAAATGATGTTAAAGGAAGCAAAATAAAGTCTGCCAACTCGCGCGGAGTAAATTGCACAGACAGCAGTTAGTAAGATTGATTTCAGTAGCCACGGTTTTGAAAACTTTTGTCACGTAGTGATCGTCTTCTCAATAGAACATCTTTGATAACGGCGTGGTGTTGTTGCAGGAAGTCCCGACGGAGAATACTTTTGCTGTAGTACAGGGGTGCACATAACTGGTACGCAGGTTATGTGCGTAATCTGAAATGCGTACCGTCACTTGTGTCACAAAGCGCATTTGCGTACCGACGTACTTGTGAAGCTTTTCCAGAAGGAGGTTAGATCACCGGACGACAGAGTCGGTCTCCGTGTGCACAGACAGGGCTGCTGTTAACGTCGGTCTGTACAACGGAATTGTGCCAAAACTACGCCAACCGGCTACGAGGGAGACTCCCCCCCCCCTTCACAGGAGAACTGCGCTAAAACAGCTGATCACAACGTTCACACTCTGTGGTCACGAAGTATTCCACTAGCCCGCCACCCCCGTCGACTTTCCTGAAGTACTCCCCCGTTGACAGAAATCAACACGTAATGAATTAAGACCCCACGGTTTGATGATTGATAGGTGTGTGGGTTGTCTTTCATTTTGACACGCAGAAACATGTTATAATAAACATAGATACTGTATGTTAAATGGATATATCCGCCTTCTTTCATTTATCTTTCCATTCCCACAACAATATACATAAATAAATGGCATATTTTGGACATAGTTCGAATAGTGATTAATCTGATTAATTAATTTTTAAGCTGTGATTAATCTGATTAAAAATGTTAATCGTTTGACAGCCCTAGTTTTAACCTTTTCAAGACAAAATGATTGGTAATTATCTATTTTAATAAATCGCTAAAAGATTAAATTAAATCTAAAAAGTAAAATTATTGGTAAGTAAGGTATTATTTTGCGAATTTCCACTATATCTTTTTATTTTCATGTACTGTTAAATCCAATCCTTTGACGTTTAACTTAATTTGGAATTTTCAGTTTTCTTTCTTATGTATATTTTGTATTGTAGTTTTGAAGCCTCTTTATTATATTTATTTATCAATAAAACAATCATTTTGTCTCACTTGATCCTCCTTTTCATCTGTAAGTTTGGCAGCTGGATTTGAAATGTTTTTGCCCTTCCCCCCTCTCCTTTTTGCAGTCTCAGCAGTCTGGGCAGGAACATCATCCTCACCACCATGCCTGCAGGCACCAAGCTGATCGCAGGGAACAAACCGGTCAGCTTCGTCACCGCGCAGCAGTTCCAGCAGCTTCAGCAGCAGGGACAGGCCACACAGGTGACATTACAGCGCACAGTTGTCAATAAGTCAAATAATTTAAAGGTCACCTATTATCACACTTTTTCATGTCTTTTAACCCCCCCCCCCCCCCCCCCCCCACCCACCCCCCCCCCCCCCCCCCCCACCTTATCACCTGAATCTCCTCCTAGAGCACCATTATGTTCTTTTTAACCAAATCTCTCTCAGAGGGGCGTGGGGAGGGGCTCCTTATTCTCATCTAAAGTAACAGACAGAGAATTAGCACTTTTGAAACAGGGCTGAAACAGAGGGGATTATGGGTAATGCTGCAATGATCTGTTTGGTGTTTGGAGCCAAACACTTCAGAGACATGATTTGTATATATCTGAGACCTATAATATATTGATGAAAAACAGTATAATAGGGGACTTTTTAAAGACTTGATCAAACCACATTGAGGCTGCTTTATGGTCCACTAAAGTAAGCCTAGAGCCTGATCGTTTTTCTTTCTTTGTTTTAGGTTCGTATCCAGACGGTCCAAGCGCAGCAGCTCCAGCAGCGCATGGCAACAGGCTCCCCGAAATCTGTTTCCACAGTTGTAGTCACGACAGCACCTTCACCCAAATGTGCCCCCGACCCCCCTCCTGCACCTAAACAGTGATGGTTGGTTGTTCAACATGATTTTACTTGTTTGTTCTCTCGCAAGTGTATTTGTAACATTGTATATTAACATTGTATATTATCATTACAATTGGGATAATACTCACAAAAACTTAGCTTTTTTCTTTTAAGGATTTGACTTGTGTTCAGTCTAACCCTTTCTCTGTTGAAGTGCGTTAAACTCTTCACAGTCACTATGAACAGTATGTTAAAAATCCCCTCCTGAATTATTTTGTCCACATTGTTTCAACAAAAATGTAAACAATGGAAAACGTGTGACTACTGTATGCTGCTCCAACCATGCAGGCTTCAGTCTTTCCTTTCCAGCAGCTTACTGTACACAAGACCAGTTGCTCTGTTAACATTTTACAACCTAAATACAACCTCACATCACAACTCATTCATATTAAAGTACACATTGTAAATTCTAATTGACTGTCAATAGGATTTTCTCTGTCATTTTATTTGATGTAAAGCAATATTATCAAATGTGAAGTGGAAATCTGTCTGATTTATTTGGATGTTGTGATTTTTGTTTTAATACACTAGTATCAGGTGTGCATTCTTTTGATAGCAGGCCATACATTTCTGTAACTTTGACTTTTCAGTTTTTAAAGGAGCAACAGATCATATCATATATATATATATATACAGAATTTGTGTTTTTATCTTTAGATTTCTTCCAAAAAAAGAAACTGAAATTACTTTGTGCAAAACAACAGACGCAGCCTCATAGACCGTCAACATTTAAAATTAAATCTAGTATAGTTAAAAGAGTCATAACCATGCATTCACTCTTCATCCGGCTCTTCAAGCAAAGCTTTCTGGGAGCTCATTTTGGAGGATGTATTTCACATTCCAACTAGCACTTTGAATATACTGTATCTCATTAATAATCCCATGCAGGTTAACAACTGATGTGTGACTCTGTCCTCTGCATGTTGACCACTAGGTGTCACTCTTGGTCCAGTCTTACAGGCTCACTGACATGCTACACCTATAATATAATCAGCCAACACTATAAATGTAAACCCCTACATAAAATACCAGCTGTTGTAGACATGGACATAAAGAGTAGCTGACATCCTCGTGGATTCATCTTCTTATTACAGACACATGCATTTCCTAACATTCGGTCTATATGCTGTAAAATGTATTATCTTTTCGATTTACACACGGCATCTATTGCACGTCTGTCCGTCCTGGGAGAGGGATCCCTCCTCTGTTGCTCTCCCTGAGGTTTCTCCCATTTTTCCCCCTTAAACTGTGGGGTTTTCCCTGGAAGTGTTTCCTTGTACGATGTGAGGGTCTAAGGATAGAGGGTGTCGTTTTTCTCATACTGATATTCTGAACAATCTGTGCTGTTGTATTTGCTGTAAAGTGTCTCTACTGTAGGCTATTTTTATTATATGTACAGCACTTTGGCTCGACCAAAAATCGTTTATAAATGTGCTATATAAATAAAACTTGATTTGATTTGAAATTGAAGAGAAATAATAATCATAACCTCAATGTTGTCTAACAAGGAATGAACGATGACATTTGTTGAAATCTTATTAATGTAGCAGTAAACCTACTATATGTATCCAATCCTTTTTACACGTATTTAGTGTCACAAAGGTACTATTGAAGACTAGGTTTAACCACAACAAACTTGATTATGTTGGCAGTACGGCGTAATGTAATGGTCTGACGAGGAGTTAAGAGCTGTCTCCACAAAATGTCATGGTCCCCCAATACAAGAAAACTGTCTTTTTTTAGCAACAATATACCATACGTTATGTTGGTGACCAATTCCTTTTGATTATAGGAAATGGTCAGACATTTTTTCCACCAGTGCATGCTCCAAAAATGTCCAGCGTTACTGTTCCTCTCATACCAAAAGGTTATTGTATTTGACTTTCCTGTGCTGAAGTTTCGAAAGTTCCCACCTCCTGTCTTTGTCTTTTACTGAGACAGGTTGTCATTGTGTGTATATGCATGTGTGTAAACCTTATTTTTCTTAGATTTTCCCCTTCTCTTGGAGATATGTGGGATTAAATAGAAAGCATGTCGCATGCAAACGGTGTGTGTTTTATGGATGATGAATGGGCATTAGCAATCCTGGCACGGATCCTATCAGATTGTATGCTTAGTTATTGGGTTAGTGTGGAAACAGAGGCATGTAAATAATGTGTGCACCCACACACACGATGAAAGAGATGATGGCAATGTAATACAATACCCTTATATACATCTGCACTGAAACCGCTAGATCACATTAGAGGTACACGTGCATCATGGGTGTTAGTAATCAGTTTATCTTTAAATTGGGTTTGTTGTTGAAGGGTTTTTTGTCTGCACATTACGATTCTATCAGTTAAACTCAGTTGAGAGAAATGATTTGCACGGGATGATGGGAAACCCCCATGAGAATGGAAAGGACAAATACTTCCTGTGAAAAAGGTAAAAAATGCAAGACAAACACAATTGGATAACCACCAAGCTGGAGACCATGTAGCAGCCCTCTGAGAAATCTTGAAGACGACGACGGCTTATACTTTATTAATATCCAAGGGGAAACTCAGTGAACATAGTTGAAGTAGAAACATGCCAGTGAAAGTGTGCTTCCTTTTTAAAAATTGATAATTGATGTGTCAGTTTGAATTGGCTTCATTCACGGAAACCCAAATGACGTCTGATTTTAATGTGCAGTTATTTGATTTCCATCCTCAAGTCTCCAGAACTGTGACTGCAGCGTGATTGTAAGGTAATTTTGACACTGAGTTTGAATTCACGGAGGTTAAATAAGGGATCATCTGATGCAGGACTTGCTTGGCATCACACATGAGGTTTCTGGTTAAATTAGAGATGAAGGCGTGGTAAAGAGTGATGATAGTTTGCAGGCGAGGAGACCGGTTTCCCAGGGGGTAAAAAGCCTTGAATGTGTCTGGCATGCATGGGGTCGTTGAGGATTAAAGGAACGCTTGAAGGCAGGGGGATCGAGGGTCTTTGGGTTCTGGTTTCCAAACGAGCTGACTCAGCAGTACGATCATCTGCACTACACCACATCACATCGCCAATAGCTGAATCTCTGATGTTGATCCAGTAAGTTGCTAACAGACCCTCTCTTTATCTCAACCTTCTGCTCCCTGGGAGGAGATAATTCACTATAATATAAAAAACCATTTGAGGTGGTTTGCGTGACTGAAGCTACAAGGGTGCAGTAGAGGGGCTTCCCAGGCTGGAGCAATTTGATCATTGGAGGAAGATTTGATTCCACCATTCACTGCTTTTAATTCTCATTTTCTAAACAGATAGGCTCAGCTATAATTAACTTTAGTATAAGACTGACAGTTAATATGAATGTGTGTTGATTTTGCTGACCACAAAAGCTGCTTCTGACCCATTTTCTACACACAGAAAATGCTCAATACAAAAGTGTTGAATAGTTTGTAAGTGAACCGCGGCGCTTTCAAGGAGTAGATGCAGCCTGAATGCTTTCCTCAGATACAGCTTGACAGTTGAAGTTGTGCAGATATTATTGACACATTCAGCGTATTTTCCCAGGCAGTTCAGGAGCTTTAGGGTTTCATGTCTGCTTCTATGCACTTTAATAAGGCTATAGTTTGAATAAACCACATCACAATTTTAAGTAAGTAAGTAACATTTATTTATAAAGCGCTTTTTAAAGACATAGTCAAAAAGTGCTTGACAAAACATTAAAACATCATAGGAATCATAAAAGAATAAATGACCACTCAAGCCACGTGTTAAGAAGTGCTAAAAACACAATACACAGTAAAAACACAATAAAAACACAAGATAAAAATAAAAGCACACAGGTTACCCAAACGCCTGCTCAAACAGGAATGTCTGTAAATGACTTTTAAAAGAGTCAACAGTCACAATTGTACTAGTCCTTGCCCTGATGTTTTTAATCTATTTTTACTTGTACAGTTGGAGTACTGGCAATAAAAAATAAGCAAAGACAGTCTTTTCTTATCAATTGGTTTGAGCTCATTCATCTTTTAATTTATCTAGACCTCTTTTACCTCGGGCAAAGGTCACGCCACTGTGTTGGTTTTCCCCTGCTGGCAGGCTTGCCTTGCAGTGCAACAGACAACATGTGTCGGTAAAGTGATGTTATGATGATTTCACGCTCCCCACGTGCTATCTTTGGGTAAGCTATAAGTTATGTGTGTGCTTAGCTGGAAGTGTGTCAGAGGTCCAGGAGCTCTGTCCCTGACCTGTAATTACTGCCATTCCCTCCTATGCTTTTCACTGAAAGGTTGAAATCACTTGTCATCTTTACTTGGATTTTCAACTCTCCCATAAACCCTTTTGCTCTGTTGTCCTTTGATCTTTTTTATTTATTTATCTGTTCTTCATTATGAACACATTTCTCTACCTATTTCGGTCCCATCTGGATCCCATGGCTTCTTGTGGTTACCCACTCCCTCCACAGATGTCTTCTCTCTGTCCTAACCGCCAATAATATTGATTCCCCTGTCGGTGCTACCTCCCTCCTCCACATCCTCATTTTCTCTCAATTACTTTACTTAAGGGAACTGCCTAGCTTTTTATGTTCTGTTTCAAATATAGATATTTGACTGCTGTTATTGGCACACGCCCCGACCACAGACCCCTCTTCTCTCCGGTGTAATCTCCAACCATCATACCAACCAGAAGAGGTTTTATAGTCACTTCTTCACCCCCCCCCCTGCATATCTACTGTAATGTGTCTCCTGCCTATCCACACACTTACAGCCATATCCAAGTGCCAGTATTTTCATTCAGTTCCCTGATTGCTTTTAGAAGTACTACCACATTTCACAGCAACACAGAACCACTTTCCAGGGTGGGCACACACACACACACACACACACACACACACACACACACACACACACACACACACACACACACACACACACACACACACACACACACACACACACACACACACACACACACACACACACACACACACACACACACACATTCACACATACACGTACGCATACACATACACATACACACAAGGCCTTCATTTTACATCTCTTTCCAAATTGTCAAAATATCAGGATTCATTGAGATCTCAGTAATACATTTATTATCATATACTGGGATTAATGAGTACAAGGAACAATGGCGAAAATGAATGGGTATAATGGGTATCCTTGATTTAAATAACACAATTGTGACTTGGCTGAACAAAAGCTATTTTGTATAAGGTCTTATCTTTACAATTCTAAACTACACCTAGGACACCTTCAAAGATTCAGATTTGATAAGTGGTTTCTATACGAGTCTAGGTCTCAGAAAGATACAATCAAACCAAAACACACAAACACTATTGATTGATAAGGTCACTGTATTGCCAGGGATAAATACAATTGTATAGTGCAGATATTTATTTTTAAGGGGTAGGTATACATTATTATTTGAA